CGCAGGCAACGGCACCTTTAATGCTCAAAATAATTACACAGTTGGTAGTCAAGCACATTCAGTAGCAGTCATCGATGTGAATAACGACAATAAACCCGACATTATTGTTGCAAACAAGGGTTCGCCGTTCACCGTCGGTGTTCTTCTCAACACAGGCAATGGCACTTTTAAGGCTCAAACTATTTACTCAGTTGGTACTTGGCCATTTTCAGTAGCAGTCGTCGATGTGAATAGCGACAATAAATCCGATATTGTTGTTGCAAACAATTACGATAACACCGTCGGTGTTCTTCTCAACACAGGCAACGGCACTTTTAAGGCTCAAACTATTTACTCAGTTGGTACTAGCCCATATTCAGTGGCAGTCGTCGATGTGAATAGCGACAATAAACCCGATATTGTTGTTGCAAACGCGGGTTCAACCACCGTCGGTGTTCTTCTCAACACAGGCAACGGCACCTTCAATGCTCAAACTACTTACGCAGTTGGTAATGGCCCATATTCAGTAGCAGTCGTCGATGTGAATAGCGACAATAAACCCGATATTGTTGTTGCAAACTATGGTTCAAACACCGTCGGTGTTCTTCTCAGCACAGGCAACGGCACCTTCAATGCTCAAACTACTTACGCAGTTGGTGCTTATCCATATTCAGTAGCAGTCGTCGATGTGAATAGCGACAATAAACCCGATATTGTTGTTGCAAACTATATTTCGAACACCGTCAGTGTTCTCTTGCATTGTTAAGACTTATCGATGGCTAACCATTATCTATTCATTAACATTTTACTATTCTACTAAGTACATTACTCTTATAAAACATTACACAATACACACTAGCATTTATCTTCACTCTATATTAAGAATTTTAACAAATCTTTGCGGCCAAGGTCGCTACCTTTTCTGCTGTTTCTGCTTTTCCAATTTTTTTCTGCTTTTTAAAATATTATCTGCTTTTCATTTTTAACTCAATTTCAGTTCTAATAAATCATTACTGCAAACATATCCGATGAATTCTTAGTGATGTATAATGAAATTAATAAGATGCCAATCTCGGATTTCCAATAAGTTAATAAAGACGGTCAATATATACGCCACTTACAGAGACCGTTTTTTACCGATATTTTTCTTTCTGAAATATTTTCTATCCATCATCCAAATCTTCCAAATCATCGTACACAATCTTCTGTCTATTGATCGTTGTGCGTTAAGAATATAATAAGCTATAATATTTGTATTTAGCAGAAAAAAAATGACTGATGCTAATGATAGTCATATTGATAATGACGAAAATAGTGAAGCATCGGTAACAATCGAGTCACAAATATCATTCCGTGATAGTTTGTAGAAACTGACTGTAAAATCAGAGAAAATTCATTTAAAACTATCTGCAAATCCACAGAAATTTGTCGTGACATTTCCAACAACTCAAGGGAGGTACTTTCCATCAATAGCACTGCGCTTCACTTCAGTATTCAAAATACGGGTTGAAACTCTTTAAAGACAACACTTTAACAGCTCAATTAAAGTCCAGATTTTCTAAGAAGAGCTGTGCTTCTCCGGTGATTCCGTCACTACAAACGAGTGAAAAAAATCTGGTAAAAGAGAACTGTTTTGTACATCATTTTCTACAACATTCGTCATAGAAGTGACCGAATATGAAGTGAAACATAAGTATATAAGGGCAGAAACGCACGGTAGATAAATTTTATCTACTCTTTTTATAATAAAAAAAATGCCGTACAAGATTCGATATTGTTTTTTTCACATTGCGGGATAATTAAAAAATTAAAGAAAAACCAAAAGTTAAGATCTGTTTTCTTCTAACAAATGTTTACAACTGAAAATACAGCTGATGATCGATAATGAATCAACTAGATAAATTAGTGTCACTTGTACTCCGAAACTATATAAATTTGACTCCATTTTAGGATAACTGTGACAGCCTTGAGATCTTGGTTTCGATATCGAGGTGAAAATATTTATCAAAGATGTTAACAAACTTTTTTTGTGATCTTTGAAAGATATTACTAGGTATGATAATCGATTATGAAATTTCTGAAATGTTTATTATAGGATTGAATGTACTGTATAGAACTATAAAAAGCATCTATTTTATTGTATGTCATTTTTGTAACACGTGTAATTACGGCAAAAACATCAGAATCGTGACTCATGTTTGTCGTCTGACGACACTGTCTTCTGTATTCTTACTGAAATTTTGTTTTTCCTCCTTTAACATGGTATAAAATCAACCTTGTATACTGAGGTTTAATTCATTTCTAACGTTATTAAAATATAATTCGGTATTAATGGTTGAAGCTGAGGATATTACTATTGAATTAATTTCATTTGGTCATTCATTTGGTGTTCCACAAAATATTGATTTATTGTATTTAGTACGTCATTTTCCAACAACTAATGTTGAAAACTATCAGCAATACGATGGACGACATAAACGAATACAAAATGAATTATTAAATTTCGTGGAATATGAAGATATAATTAAAATGATTACAGAACAACTATCAATTTTTATTCATAATCAAAAGAAAAATTCAATAAAACTAGCAGCTGGATGTGAACAAGGTCAACATCGATCAGTAGCTGTTATTGAACGACTGGCTGAATTGTTAGAAGTAACTTACAATGTAGAAGTAAATCATCGAGATTTACAAAGAACAAGATATGACAAGAAAAAACAAAAAGAAAGAACACAAAATAGAGACAAAAAATATACTAATTATGATGAAAATAATTAAATGGATTTTTGATATAGTGTTTTAGCTGTAATATTATTATGAGAACTTTTTTTTATGACGATATATAAAAATTTTCTACACATCCGAATTAAAACAAAACTTCAATAGTTCAAATATTTTATTTGTTATAAATGACATATTGATGATTCTAAATGATGAAAAGTTCATAATGCTCTCATTTATTTATTAATTTTCAAAAATCATATGAACAAAATTTATCCTTTTTTCTTTATATTTTTATTAATCAATCCATAAATCCCGAGTCATAGAGCTTTTCAACTAAGGCTGCAAGACCTTGATTAACAGCTTCTTGTGCAAACAAAGGAATATCTTATAATCGACCATCATGAATTGAATGAAAAATATTTCGAAAATGTGCTAGATCATCTGATGACATAAATGTTTTTTCAGCAAAACTATGAATATTTTTCGACACAAAAAAAATAATTATCTTTTATTAGCAGAAATATGAAAGAAACCTCACCAGAAAATGCTGATGCTAATGTATCAAACCAAAGTATTTTATTTTCATCAATACTTCTCGAAAGTTTTTCGCCAAACAGAAATGTAAATAATTTTGAACCATGTAGTGTATATGCAGCATGAAGAAATTTTTCAATATTTTCCTTTGCTGGACGTTTAGCTGCAATACATGTTTCTTCATTTCCATTAAGATTATCAGGACAATCACCTAGATGACCATCACAAATAAATTGAAGAGCAATACATTGTTGACTTTGAGGACATTGAAATGGTTCCGATGGATCAATACATCCTAAATAAAAATAAAAAATGGATTCAAGAAGAGTCATCATATTTAACCTTTAAATAGAATAACGGGATGTAGAACATTGAATAATGATGATGCAGCAGCACGATTTCTATTTGAACCAATCACTCGTTCATGATTAAACCATCATTTTAATAAATCATCTTTATTATCATTAGAATTAGTTAACCAATGTGATTGAAAACCTTTAGTATATGGTCGAACAGAATGTGAATTAGGAGTTACTTCAACAATAGCTATTAGGAAGAAGAAGATAAGGATAATCAGTAATGATGAAATAGACTTCGTCATAATCGTTGTACTGTTGAACGATGTGTGTGTGCGTGTGGGTTTCTATATTGTATCTGTCTCACATTTATGCGTTTAAGAAAAAATTCTTTTCGTATGTCAAGTGTATGAACAAGTGGTCTACTCAAAGAATACGTATAGTTCAAAATCATAGAATACGATTTATTCTCCTATTGATTATATTATACCAATGAATACAGTATGAAAAGCACTATAATAATTAAAACCTCGATTTTTTTATTATGATTAAAACACACAATTTGATAAAGAATTGAATATAATAACGTAGAGTTAGCTATATTAAAAATGACATGACTATAACTATTTGTGTTCTATATATGTATGTATCAATGATTATTTGGATTCGTTTTTTGATATAGATTCAAGATTATGTCTATATACGGCAAGATCTGGATGAGTAGGTGGTAATGCTGATTGTCCGATTTCGAGTGCACGTTTATATGATGATATCGCTTCTGGATAATTTTTCAAATTCTGATATACTGTACCAATATTACTGTATGAAGTAGCTAGTAGTGGATGATTTGACGGAAGACTTGTTTGAAAATTTTCATGTGCTGTTGTACAATAAGAAAGTGCTTTCTGATATTCACCCATAGTGTTATATATTAAACCAATACTACTGGAAGGTGCAGCGATATTTCGATGATTAGCATCAAGAGTTTTCTGATAGATATCTAGTGCTTTTTCGTAAAATGGAAGTGCTTTTTGATAATCACCCATATTATCGTATGCCAAACCAATATTATTGTAACATGTAGCTATGTTAGAATGATTTGGAGAGAGTTTATCTTCATAAATTGTTAATGCTCGTTGATAGTAATCAAGTGCTTTATCATGTAATTCTTGACTGTCTTTGATCTGTCCAAGTTGATAATAGATATTACCTTTTTCAAGTTCATCAATTGTATGTTTAAGAAGATTAATATATACTTCTTCAGCTTTATCAAATTCACCAAGTTTTATCATTAACGCACCTAATTGATATAATGGTGATGAACCTTGAATTTCTTCTCGCATATGTTTCATTAGATTAATAATCTGTTCATCACTCTTACCCGTCGATGTAAGATAAACATTCCAAAGTCGATTATTAATATCACTTGGTTTTATATCACTTATATGAAAAATAGTAGGCATTGAGAATAAAATTTCTTCTTCAGTATGATAGCAACTGAATTTCTCAATACGTGCATAAGGAATTGATGAGATCGTTGGATTAATAGTAATGATGAACATAATAGCCACATGCGAAGAATCTTCCAAAGCACTGTTGGCAAATTTCATGGCAGCGTCTTGGTTTAAACTTGTTGATAAGAAACTATTAAACGATATCAACCCACCAATTGCTTTTTTCATTTTTTCAAATTTTTCTGGTAATATACGTTGACCACGATAGACTGTAAATTCGTTTTGAAAATCTTTTGCTTGTTCATTATGAAGTTTTTCAATAAATTGCAGTAAATCAGAAATAAAAAAGCCCATTCTAATAATAACATCAACTTGTTGTTCTCGAAGACCTCGATTAAGCTCATGATAAAGAAAGCATTCATACGTATACCACCATATAGGTGATTCACCAGTATATTCACTTTGAAACTTTTTAACATTTTTCAATTCGTCTTTGTCACGAGAATATTGTTTACTATAATAAGTAACGAATTCTTTAATACTTTCATCATCATGTGGGAGCTCAAGAAGAATTTCTTTCATTAACTGTGTATACATAAATGATTGATCAAGTTGATTTTTCTGACCATCAGATGTATCATTTGTGGAAATAAGACTAATATCTATAGAATCTTCATCGTATTGACGTATTATTTGTTTTATTGATTCACAAAGATCGTTAATATTGGTATAAGTATCTTGTATTTTAATCCAATCTTTCGTCCATGATTGATCGTTTGATTCGCTGTTACAAAATACGAAGACTGTTGTGAGTTGATGCATATCATGAATACGAGGTAAAATGTTTTGACCAAGTTCATCAGATACTACCAGTAATACTTTCTGCTTTTTAATCTTGTTCAAAATATTAATACATTCATTAGCATCATCAAACACACGAACAGTATAACCTATAGATTGTAACTGTGTAATTGTATTAAGACAATCAGCATTGTCTGGCGTAATGTTTGAATCTAACCAGAAGAGAGTATAGTTTTGCAAATCAGAAGCATCTTCAACAACATCAGTTGAGGTGGTAGTAGGATTAGATGATGGTGATGATGAACCAGAGAGTAATTTTTGTTTCGTTACTGTTTTACCTTTGGTTGGAGCAATTGCCTGTCTTGATTTTCCTCCATTTGAGAAACTATTAACTGTAGATACTTTCTTTTGGCTCATACTATGTATGGAATTCGATTGATCTACGTGCGAGCAAATTAATCCTGCATTATTCAAAAAATAAAGGTGTATTTATACGTATGTGTGTGTGTAGCAGAATATTTGTGTTTTTTCCTACTTGGCATAAAAACATTCTTTTATTCCAGGTACTGTTTTGCTATTATGTATTTAGTGACAAAGAACAGACAATAACACAAACATCTATTAATAACAATGAAATCGACGAACAAGAATAATACAAACTTTTTCATTTTTTGAAGAAAGAAAAGTATTGTTAGTCACCTATGTCAACATCTATGCATACTCCTATGACATTTTAAAAATATTTGATTGTCTTCTCAAAGAAAGAATCTATTATTTTTCAATGTTCGCGGAAAAATTATATTACAAGCCATAATTTATATATGATTCCATATAAATTTTTCATAAAATTATGCCGAGAAAAGAATAGTTTTCATTCTTCTATATTGATTAAGGTAGTACAAACAAAAGTAGAATACCTACATTCACAACTTATAGTAAACTGCTTGTATATTACTTAAATTTGAATAGGATTGACATGTCCTAGTAGCAAAAATTCACCATCGTCACCCTTATTCATACTCTTTTCGTCATCATGACCTATAGAAAAAAGTGAAATAATATGGCGAGAACATTCTGCAATGCAGCATTTTCATTAAATTATTGTCAGAACGATCAATGCTCTGGAACTCATCAACGGTTATCTTCATGATTATTTGCATATAGTACTCAATTCGATCAATTACTTGATATGAAAATAAAAAACTGCCAAGAAATACTTTACAATGGAAATTTTAAAAAGAAATTATATTCAAATTAAATCTATAAAAGGAAAGTTAGTAACTGATTATACAACAAGTAACTCACAAGAAATAATAGTGCAGCTTGGCATGAAACTAGATATAATAAAATACATTTATTGAAACAATCTCGTAAATACAATTATATAAAGAATTTTCATTATCAAATTAATTGTCAGTTATAGATATATTTAAGAAAATTATATATCTTGAGATTATTGAAAGGTAAATTCATAACCATACTTAACTGAAATCATAAGTTATATGCATCTAATACTCAAAATAGAAGTTTATATTTCTTAGTTAAAAAATTGCACCATTAAAAAATTAAATATCCTTCAATTATATTATATTATATAATAGATCTTAATGAATGCATTGAAATATGTAAAGATGATGAATTCATTTCTTATTATTCAATAGTTCATATAGTACATGCTTTACATTAAATAAAAAGAACAAATTAAATGAATAATTTGATCAAATTGAAGATAAAAAAAATGCATGCATAA